TGACTGTGGAGGCCAGGTCATCTGCCGCAGCACTCCATCACTCTCCTTCTTGGTCAAATAGCCCTTACACAGCCTGGAGGTGTGTTTGGGGTCATTGTCCTGTTGAAAAATAAATGATCGTCCAACTAAACGCAAACCGGATGGGATGGCATGTCGCTGCAGGATGCTGTGGTAGCCATGCTGGTTCAGTGTGCCTTCAATTTTGAATAAATCCCCAACAGTGTCACCAGCAAAACACCCCCACACCATCACACCTCCTCCTCCATGCTTCACAGTGGGAACCAGGCATGTGGAATCCATCTGTTCACCTTTTCTGCGTCTCACAAAGACACGGCGGTTGGAACCAAAGATCTCAAATTTGGACTCATCAGACCAAAGCACAGATTTCCACTGGTCTAATGTCCATTCCTTGTGTTTCTTGGCCCAAACAAATCTCTTCTGCTTGTTGACTCTCCTTAGCAGTGGTTTCCTAGCAGCTATTTGACCATGAAGGCCTGATTGGCGCAGTCTCCTCTTAACAGTTGTTCTAGAGATGGGTCTGCTGCTAGAACTCTGTGTGGCATTCATCTGGTTTCTGATCTGAGCTGCTGTTAACTTGCGATTTCTGAGGCTGGTGACTCGGATGAACTTATCCTCAGAAGCAGAGGTGACTCTTGGTCTTCCTTTCCTGGGTCGGTCCTCATGTGTGCCAGTTTCGTTGTAGCGCTTGATGGTTTTTGCGACTCCACTTGGGGACACATTTAAAGTTTTTGCAATTTTCCGGACTGACTGACCTTCATTTCTTAAAGTAATGATGGCCACTCGTTTTTCTTTAGTTAGCTGATTGGTTCTTGCCATAATATGAATTTTAACAGTTGTCCAATAGGGCTGTCGGCTGTGTATTAACCTGACTTCTGCACAACACAACTGATGGTCCCAACCCCATTGATAAAGCAAGAAATTCCACTAATTAACCCTGATAAGGCACACCTGTGAAGTGGAAACCATTTCAGGTGACTACCTCTTGAAGCTCATGGAGAGAATGCCAAGAGTGTGCAAAGCAGTAATCAGAGCAAAGGGTGGCTATTTTGAAGAAACTAGAATATAAAACATGTTTTCAGTTATTTCACCTTTTTTTGTTAAGTATATAACTCCACGTGTTCATTCATAGTTTTGATGCCTTCAGTGAGAATCTACAATGTAAATAGTCATGAAAATAAAGAAAACGCATTGAATGAGAAGGTGTGTTCAAACTTTTGGCCTGTACTGTACATCATTCTGCGCAGTGAGGCTCAAACATTCATCTGTAGGAACAAGAAGAAAACACATTTTTGAGTGGAGGAGGATAAGTTATTGTAAACCATGGTTTTTAAAACCTTACAACCTGCACCTGATGTTAAAAAATTAATATCACAAGATGTAAACATGCCATTGTGTTGTGCAAGTGCTGGAGGTTCCTGTTTAATTCTATAGCAACTGCACAATCAGCAGGTGGTTAAGGCTAAAGGGAAGTCTGTCATTACATATGTAAGAGGAAACGAGAGAAACAGAGGGTCGGAGACAGGACAAGGACAAGGTCATCCGGAGGACAGTGAGACAAAACGTCACACCCTTCTTCACACCCTCGTCACACCCTCTTCTGTTAAACTTTGATATATCGGTTCTGGTCTCTATTTGCTTTAAAGGTCATTACAAACAAATTCTTATGACACCTGACCCCCTATGAGAGCCAACCCATCCTGCAGCGCCGCTGTCCGAAGTGCTGAACAGGTACTGTAGGCCAGATGCTGCAGAGAAATCCATATTAACAAGAGGCAGAAGAAAATAAATCCAATTAAACGACATATTTGCTGCCACAGAGTAATTCTGTGAACTGACAAGGAATGACCAGCGTGTGTGTGTGTATGTGTGTGTTTCTGTAAGTTATTTCTAACTTACTCAGAACACTGCTGTCACTTTCTGACCCGCCCCACCCGACCTGCGGGTTGCTTGTCAACACACGCATCACTATTGGCAGGTGTATAAGTAAACAATGAACAACAACCACAAAGATCATTATTCAGTCTCATATTACATTTGTGGGAAGTACAGTTTACAGTTTACATTTTCACCTTCCCACATATGTAATAATTTCCTGCAAATGTAATAGTTATTACATTTGCGGAAAATTGTGTGTTACGTTTGTAGTAGGCAGCTGCTATTACGTTCGTGGGAAATTTATTACATTTGTGGGATTATTACATTCAAAGCTGCAGATTTGTATTACGTTTGTGGTTTATTACGTTTGTGGTCTGTTATTACGTTTGCGGGTGTAACATAGCCAAAATAAAGCCAATTCTCCCAAGGCACCACTTTGAGACATTTATCCACGCCTTTGTTACCACTCGGCTGGATTATTGTAATGCACTGTAAGTGGGGGTTAGTGGGTCCTCCATTGCCTGTCTCCAGATGGTACAGAACGCTCCCGCACGTCTTTTAACTGGCACACGTAAACATGAGCACATTTCCCCCATTTTAGCTTCACTCCACTGGCTGCCCATACACGCTAGGATGCATTTTAAAATTATTTTATTTGCTTTTAAATCCTTGAATGGTCTTGCCCCGCCCTACCTCTCTGAGCACCTACACCCTTAAACTCCCATCCGCTCTCTCAGGTTAGCTGATCAGCTGCTCCTGAGTGTGCCTAAAACTAAGCGGAAGCTCAGAGGGGACCGTTCCTTCGCTGTTGCAGCTCCAAAAATATCGAATGATCTGCCTCTGCACATTAGACAGGCCTGTCCTCTGTCTGTTTTTAAATCTCTTCTTAAAACCCATCTCTTTTCCTTGGCCTTTGACACTTTGTGAGATTTTATTTTATTTATTTTATTTTATTGTTTTTTATTGTATGGCTGTTATGTTTTATGCTTTTTAATTTATTATATTTTTATTTTATTTGTATTTTATTTGTATTTTACATGCAATTTTTATGCCTCACGTGAGCCTTTTATTTACTATGTCTTTTATTTATTCTGTACAGCACTTTGGTCCACTGTGGTTGTTTTCAAGTGCTTAACAAATAAAGTTGGATTGGATTGGATTGGAACATTTGGACATTTAAATTTGTATGCGAGCTACACAGCTAACTAACGTTAGCTCAAGTGGGTAGCCAATTCAGCCAGTTCAGAGAATATGCAACATCTGAGTATGCGACATCTGAGTAAATATATCAGTGTATCATATTTCACATCATATTTAATTATTCTTAATAGCAGATTGTAGCCAAGTACCATAATGCAGTGATGCAAACACAGGTATGGTGAAAAAAGACAGAGCCTCTGAACTTATAGGGGGGTCTGGGGGCATGCCCCCCTGGAAGAAAAGTTTGACTATTTTAAAGTTATAATACATCAATCTGGTGCACTTCGGGAGCAAATTTAGGAGGCTAGATATATGAAGAACTTCGTGTTTCTGTAAACAATTTTGGCCAAAGTAAGCTAAATATCTAAAATATGCATTAACCAAGCTAAAAAGACCAGAGAATGTCATGAGCAAAAGTCCCCAGTTTGCTTAACAAAGTGACAGTGTTAAAAAAAACAAACAAAAGCAATATAGGCTATATGTTAATAGGTCAGTATTAATATTTTATTGTTCCAAGTTTTCTATTTCCACTCTGGTTATAAAACAGCTTCTAACAAACAGAGAGATGCTTTATAACCACACTAAACACATAGCCTAATGATGATTTTAGCTGCATTTTAATGGTGTAAACTTTATTTTATCCTCATAGTGACAGCTGACAGTGTGGATGATTTTACACTCTGCAGCTCAGAATAACTTGAGACACCCGATAACTGGAAATAAAAACTAAAGAAATAACCCACATTGTTAATTGGCTCCCGTGATTATAAATATAACATTTCGATCGGATAGACCTCATCAGTCATTAACTACTTTTACACTCCTTGGTTTGGTAGCAGAAACAGTCTGGAATTATTTTAAAGTTCTATTACAGTATGTGATATTAAGAATGATTTCATCCTGTCATCAAACTAAATAGCGAAAAATACTCTGTACTTAAGTCATAATAATTCTTAAATGTGCCTTAGCCTACTTTTAATATTTGTAAATTATTATTATTATTATTATCATTGTTATTTTATTCTGTTGTAGCCTATGATTACAGGCTGTTGTTACTTAGTTGAAAATAACTGTTTTGCTGTCACTGAAACAGAAGTTTTTTACAGATAGGCTACCGTTTCATCTCATATGAATATGAGTTCATGATGATGATGTTGCTCCTAATTAACAACTCCGCCTCTTTCACATGAACGCGCTTATTGCTGGAAAACACAGATGACAGAGCGAGTTGATAACCAGCTTTGTAGTACTGGTTATCCTGGATGGGCGCTGTTAGGCTCTGTGAAGCCAGCTCACCTAAAGAAAGCCTGGCTATGTTAAACGTGCATCGTAGTACAGGCCGACCGGGGGAGAGCGAGTATCAGAGTGGAGACAGTGGAGTGACGGACCGCGGGTGAGAGAAAGGCAGGCGAGCAGTGGCACACATCCTGCGACTAGAGTTGCTTTACCTGTGACAGCTGTTTTATTTTTATTCTCCCCTTCCTCAATGCAGTTCCATCATGTAGCATGACAAAATAGGATTTATTATGAATTGTTAAGGGCATCTGTCAGTTAAATTATTTTTGGAAATACCTAATTTTCTATTTTAGAAAACAGTATTTTAGAACAGTGGTAATAGTCTGGAAACATAAATATTTTTCCATACTTTATTTTTCATTTTCCATACTTTTTAATACCTGGAAATTGATCAAATTTATTTCCATACTTTTCCATACTTTCCATACTTGCATAGGAACCCTGTGCTAATCTAAAAATACTCTTCCCCTCTGGTTTGTTAATGTTCTTCTAAACGTGTGAACAGTGAACTACAACTGTCTGTAAAAACAGCTATGGAGAAAATGATGCCTGGTTGGGAATATTTAAATACATTTAATTGACTCCCATTCCCACCCCATTTCTCTCACCAGCCTGGTATTGGGTAGCTTTCTGGGCATTGGTACATCCACAACAGGCAGCTCAGCATGTTTTGGGTAGGCCTGGGCCATGCAGTTGCTGGGAGGACTGCCTTTAGGGATTGCAGCTGTGATCTTCACCCGCTCACAGCCCTTGACAGAGCAGAAGGCAAACTGTTCCCTGCTGTTATGGGCCTTTACCTTCAGGAAAAGCAGGCTGCAACACACAGTAAAACTTTAGACATCATACACTTCATCTAATATTTTGGAACAACAGAAACAAAATGTACATTGTGAAATGTTAACCCATGAAACTGTGAGGATGTTTAGAACCTTTTGAATCTTCTCACCTTGAAGTTCAATTGCCCACGGAAGTACATGGCATTCACCAAAGATATAAAACAAAACAAAAAAATGGAGGCCTGATCTTATAATGACTGACTTACTACAGGGCTCCAGACTAACCTTTTTAGTAGGAACACTGTAGCCCCTAACTGAAAATTATAGGAGCGCAAGCAGAAAATTTAGGGGCACACCTTAAACTGTCCTGCAACGCAGTTATTCACATTTTTGGCCATTTTAACTGTGTCATAAACTATATGTAGTCTACTGTATATTAACACTGGACTGTTTTAATTATTCAAGTATTAACCATCACAAAGACTTGTGGTCAGTGGGATGAGCGGATTCTTAAAATAACATCTGTACAGATGTGAAGCCCTGACTGTATCTGACTGAGCCTTAATGAAAGCTGTTGTCTTGTGTGTTTTTTCCTGCTCTGCAGCAGCAAACTGATATGATGCTGATTTACATGAGAATTCATGTCAAATGGAGGTTAAACCATGATCAGAAATGACAGAAAGCCTGCATTTTAATAAGCTAATCTATCATAATTAAAACAATTGGAGACTGAGAACAAACTGATAACTTCACCGTACTTGCAGACTTACGGACTTTGCAGGTGCTTTCCCGGGAAGTGCTGGGAGTGCTGAGGGCTGTCCAAAGCTACAATTCCTCCAGTCCACAAGGGACCCTAAAGCGGACTTCCAGAGAGTCTGCTTGGGGTACGGACCTCAGCAGACTAACGCCCAGTTTATAGGCCCAATTCCAATCCGGCCCCTAAAGACTCAAGCCCTGAACCCTCACTGACTTAACTGACGTCAGCTGTAAATGATTGAGTGTGAGAGTCTGAAAGGGCTCCGGATGCTACAAATAGGAATGGGACAGCACTTATTCCCTCGTACTCGTACTTGTACTCGTTGTCCTCCGCTTATCCGGGTCCAGGTCGCGGGGGCAGCAGCCTCAGCAAAGAAGCCCAGACAGTCCTCTCCCCCGCCACTTCCGTCAGCTCTTCCGCGGGAACCCCGAGGCGTTCCCAGGCCAGCCGGGTGATGTAGTCCCTCCAGCGTGTTCTGGGGCGGCCCCGAGGTCTCCTCCCGGTTGGACATGCCCGAAACACCTCCCAAGGGAGGCATCCGGAAGGCATCCTTACCAGATGCCCGAACCACCTCAACTGGCTCCTCTCGATGTGGAGGAGCAGCAGCTCTACTCCGAGTCCCTCCCGGATGTCTGAGCTCCTCACCCTATCCCTAAGGCTGAGCCCAGCCACCCTGCAGAGGAAACTCATTTTGGCCGCTTGTACTCGCGATCTCATTCTTTCGGTCACTACCCAAAGCTTGTGACCATAGGTGAGGGTTGGAACGTAGATCGACCGGTAAATTGAGAGCTTTGCTTTCTGGCTAAGCTCCCTCTTCACCACAATGGACCGGTTAAGCGCATGCATCACTGCTGACGCCGCCGCACTTATTCCCCTCTCTACAAAATGTTGTTGACACTGGCGGCTGTGGGTGTGATCATTTATCGGTCATTGTCAGCATATATTCCACACACAAAGAATATATATCTATATATATCTATAGATAGATAGATAGATAGATAGATAAATAGATAGATAGATCTATATATCTATATATATGTATATATATAGATATATAGATATATATTCTTTGTGTGTGGAATATAACCACTGGTATTCCTCTGACTTCATGTGTGTTTATGTACCATCTTAAATCCTTGTTAATGTAATGTTTCATTGTTTATCTATCTGTTTTTTTCGTTCTCCTTCCATAACGTTAATGTTTGCATATCTGCCGACCGTATTTTCGTTTTTTCGTTTTTTTTTTAATAACACTTACGGTGTTCCGAGGGCAACCCCTGTATTTGACGTCACAACGCTATGAACTGTGGGTAATTTCCTTACCGAAAGTCCGCATCGATGCTGACCTACGGTAAGGGGGCATAAAGGGCTCACTCACTGACTCACTGACTTGACGATTTGACAATGGGACAGCCCTCACACACTCACACACGTAACATGAACGCGCCTCTAAGTCAGTGAGTCTGTACAGGATCGGATTGGAATTGGGCCATAGAATTATAGTCCTGTCCTTATTTACAAACATTTGTTTTTAAATGTTGTAAATACATAAATACATTTTTGTTTAGTCACAAAAAAGGCTTTACATGGGATTTATATCTTGTTATCTGCAAGAACGGATGAGTAGGCACTATTCATCAACTTGTATGACATATATATGAATATGACAGCAGTGACAGTTGAACATTTCTACAGCAACGAGCAAAACAGTCTCGAGAGCTCAGTCTGCAAGTCCAGAGGGTGGACATTTGGATTCAGCCTCCAACTTGACCGCAGCTAGTTGTCACCTAGCATGAGCCTTCCGATGAGTGCTGATGACGTGATCCTTGCAGTTAACCAATCACTCCTTGACTTTCCTTCTCTCACACACACACTGGCGGACTCGCTCCCTCGTTTGATAAGAAAAATAAAAAGAAACGCCTGCAAATTTCCGGATCACACACGAGCAAGTAGTTGTAAACAATACTTGCACTGACTCCAAAAATGGTTGCAAAATACATTTTCCATTTTGTTCATACTTCTACTACTGGAACATGTTTACATACTCTTGTTATGCATTTTGATCTTACATGATCTCCGTAGGAGGAACCTGAAAGGGGTCACGGGTAACCTACCGGGACTTTTGTTGTGGTTACTGTTGCCATGGACCACAAGCCTTTTCCGCAGTAGCAAAATAAAATGTCAACTTGACAAAATAGTCTGAGTCATATGTTTATTATAAGTCACCGTAACAGTTAAGACATAACTTTAATGTTTAACTGTAATGTGATCTTTCACAATATGGGATCTTTAGGTGGTAGAGACACTGTTGGTTTGTCAGATTTTCTAATTGTTTATGTTTCTTGACCCAGTGGACTCTATATAGTGAGTATATTATATAATGTAATCAATCCGTAGAAAATATAAAGGTATTAAACAGTGTCAAAGGCTTTTTGCCTCAATGTTGTTTTCTGATGGTTGATTAAAGTGTTCTCAGTAAAGTTTGCTTTTGAGATGAGGTGAGCTAATGTGATGGTAGTGGTGTTCATTTGTTTTTGTGTATGTTTGTGTGTGTGTGTGTGTGTGTGTGTGTGTGTGTGTGTGTTTCTATCTGTCTGACCCAGTGTCTTCCTCCCAGTAGTAGTATCCTCTGGCCAGGTGTGAGTGGTTGATCTTCTCCCTCTGCGTTGTCCTCATGAAGACACCGGTCTTGTGGGTCTGCTTGGTAAGGCGATTGTGGATATCGGAGATGATGGTGAAGTTAGTGCCTTGTGGATAGCAGAGCCCCACGTTGAGCCAGTCATTTCTGAAACACCCCAAACGAAGCAATGTAGATAAAGTAGTGACTTCATCTCACACTAAAACCTATTCTGACAGCCATAGTAAAAGCACACATGACTATACCTGCTTTTATCTAATCAGGTGAATATCACATGAACTGCAAATAGAACTAACAAATTTGTTGGTAGATAGTCGGAGAAGTATTCATTCATTCATTTTCCACAACCACTTATCCTGTTGAGGGTCGCGGGAGGTGGGTGGGGGGTAATATTAGGTGAGAGGCAGGGTACACCCTGGACAGGTTCACCAGACTATCGCAGGGCTAACACTGAAAGAGAGAGACAAGCATTCACACTCATATTCACACCTACGGGCAATTTCTAGAGTCACCAATTAACCTACTCTGCTTGTCTTTGGACTGTGGGAGGAAGTGGCACCTAGAGAAAACCCACGCTGACACAGGGAGAACATGCAAACTCTGCACAGAGGGGCTCCCCTACCCTGGGTTCGAGCCCTCAACCCTGGGCTCAAACCAGGAACCCTGTTGCTGTGAGGTGACAATGCTAACCACTGCACCACAGTGCTGCCATAAATATTTGTTTTAGTCATTTGTAAAGGAAAAATATATAAAGCATATTCTAGCTTTAGCTTTTCCAGTGTGAGGATTTACAGCCTTTTCTATTTATTTATTTTTTTAAATATTATGTAAACTGGTGAAAACAAGAAATTCAAAGACACTGGATCTCTGTGATGGGCATTTTCATTATTTTCTGACATTTAATAGACCAAAGAATAATCAATTAATAGAAAAAAATTCTGGTGTAGAAACACTAAAGGATAGCATTACACATGGATTTTTAAATCAGGTGAATGGAATGCTAATTGCTAACAGTGCCAGGTGGGTTAACATATACCCTTAATATCTTGTATAGCTACAGTAAAAACATATGTGATATCTAAAAGCATAGCTCAATATTCCCAAATTATACATAAGCAGTCAAATACAACTTGTAAAATCTTTAATTCATACACCACTCTGAGTAGATAATTGCATGGCTTTTATGTGCAGCATACACATTTCCCTATTTTTCTTTACCAGAGAAAGGTGGTTGCAGCTCTAATTTAAAAATAATGTTTCCAAATATGCTGAATTGGGACAAAACAGAAAAGTTCAACATGCTAAAAATTCAAACCTGCTACATAAACTCTCTCAAATTCAAAAATTAATTTCCAAGACCAACAATTTAAAAGATGATTATCTATTTAACGCTTTTTACAGAGTCTGCTCTAAGCTGCATTTTAATATATTATACCAACAAGGCAAGAAAAGACAAACCATCTGCTGCTGCTTTCTTAAAGTAAGTAAAAAATAAGTCATATTTCAGCTCTTTGTGGAGAGAAACACTCTTACTTGCAGTATTACTCTTTGAACTGTAGATGGGGCCATTGGTGTATGCACAATTGATGGAAATACACAGCTTTGGCTCCATACTGTCTATAGCAGGGTGGACTTGGACCATTGGGGATAGCTGACGTGCTTAAAATGACAGATTTTATTTACTTTAAATAGCCGAAGGCCGCACTATTGACACCATCTGAAGGGAGGAGCACAAAGTGAGGCTCTCCCCATTTTTGTGGTGAATCTTCATAAAAAGAGGGATTGAGAGGAATGAGCTGAAGGCCCTCATCAGTTTACATCATTCACCATGAATTATCTGAGTGACCAGGACGTGGAGCATTTAAGGAGGGATCAGTGTTGAAAACCAAATTAATCTTGTCAGCCGACTTCCCTTGTCATCATTCCCAACATTTTCTTATGTTTAACTGTATTCTTTCTGTAACTGGATAGCAATTAAGCCAATTAATGAATGGTTAAGTCACAAGGAAATGAAATTCTGAAACCAACTGTACACTTTTTGCAGTGATTGGCCAGGAGGAGTGGAGGTGTGGGACTACTAAGCAGGGTTAGAACTTCTCTTTCAAACCCTCTTTTTCATTAAAAGTATTATGTTACGAACAGTTCATTATGGGAAGGGGGTCATAGCGTGGGGATCATAATCTGGTGCACATTGCCGCATGCAGAATAGGCTACATAGGCATATTTGAGGTGAGCTGCTGCGCGTCTCAAAAATAGGCAAGAGTAGAAGATTGCAGGGGAAGTATCAAAGAGTCGAAGTCGAACAGCTCGGCTGGCCTGAGTCAACTTGCAATGATGGAAGCAGCACTAGTTTTGTTAGTTAACTGTCAGTTTTCTAGTAATTGATGATGATGTGATTCTACATCATTCATGGAAAATAAGAACTTGATCTTACTACTGTAATGTGCAAGTACTTGCCATTACAGCTTCAACTGGTTAAATGCACAGACATCTTGTGGCCCACTGGGACTGTCGGACCGAGGAGAGTGAACTGACAAAATAAACAGGACTCCTCCCCTACCCATATTTTAGAAGTACCTGTGCTACTGTATTTCAACAAAGCAAACCAGAAGTAGGCTACTATTGGTTTTATTCTATGCTGAGGCTTCTGTTGAGCCAAGATAGCTTGGTGTTAGCATGCTCGTTTGTCGCATCACAGCACTGGACCACCAGTAAACATAAACGTGCTGCCAGACTATTTTCACCGCATGTGTGTCTGTAATGCTGGCTTGCTCATGTGAGTGGCTTTATGTTGCTGCAGCAAAGTGATGTGGAAACAAGGGGGGCCAAAACGTTTGGCAGACAGCAAAATACAGACAATAATGAGAATGGTACTCTCTTCATACTGCAATCACAGAAATGACAGATATGCTCAAAGACATATCAAAGCCTTGATGGACATTCATCCTTTCCTCAGTGAAAATATATTTCTTTTTAATACTTCTTTTATTTACAAGTTTCCACCACATCAATTTTTTCCCACAACTTAGATCCAGCAAAAAATTTTATGTTGGAAAGATGTTTTTTTTTTTTAAAAAAAAAAAAGGTCAAAGGACATTCAACAATGGTTCAAAAGTGAAAGTGTTGATTAAATGTTCACATTTAGACCATATTTCACTGTTCATCCTCTACAGTGTGCTAATAATAGTCTATCGTTATTTTGGAGCTGAACTAAGAAATCACATCCAAATTTGGTCTAAACGTAAACGTAACTGATCAATCAACGGAAGAAAAACTTTCACTTTTGGACCTTTTCTGAATGTCTTTCCACCATCACTGTTTTAAACTCCTTTTAAACCTCAAAATGCTCCAGCTGTAATATAAAACAGTAAATGTGGCTCTGGCTTTAAGATGACAACTATAGCAGCACTTCCACTTATGAGATAGAGAATACCATGTGACACATGCTACAATACATTTGTATTTATTAATCAACAATTTAAATATAACATGGAAAGTGCTCTTTAGATACAATTACAGTGAGATAGAAAAATACATAATCGATGCAAGGTCCCTCAGGTTGGAGGAAGAAGTTTGATATGGTGGAAACCTGTAAATACAACAAGTATTAAAAATAAATATATTGTCATTGATGAAAGGGTGAATGTCCATCAAGGCTTTGATATATATCTTTGAGTATAACTGCAATTTCTGTAACTGCAGTATGAGCCACATGACTATGGGTAAAACATATATGATACAGTAGTATTCTCTATGTTGTTTGTATGTTGCTGTATGCCAAAGGTGTTGGCCTCTGGTTTTGCACACTATAGAGGATGAAACATCTCACTTAATGTGAACATTCAATCAACGTCCACAAATAGTTGGTGAAAAAACTTTTGGAACATCTTTTCCCCGGTGACCAAGTCGTTTTTTAAACATCTTTTCAACGGAAAAATGTTCGCTTGGCACACCAGGCGTTCAGATGCGAACTGAGTCTATCTCTGAACGACTAACTTACTGCCTTGCAAAGTGGAGTGTAATGGACTGCAGACCAGTTTCAGTGGTAGAGGACAGGGGGGCAACCGTGTCCAAAATCCAGCAGCTTCAACTACAACACATCTGCTTAAATTCATTTGAAATGAATTCTTTAAAACACATTCACAGCTATAAATACAGAAGTAATTATACTGTCACTCCTAAACACACCACAGTCCCATGGAAAAGGAGAACTCCTGTTCTAGGTGGTCACTGGGTTCTACTCAAAGGTAAATGACTACAAACAGGCTCACAGTACAGTCCGAGCATCACATGGCTGGAACCCACACTAATGTCAGAGACTTAACAACCTGTGGTACTTTTGTTAGAAATTTAAAAATGTGGTCATTTGAGAAATAGCAGTGGCAGCATGATATTTAATAATATTCTCAGTCTGTTTATCACCGTTAATTGTATCTAAAGTCTACATGCCATATGTTATTTGCTCTATTTTTTGTCTTCTTTGTCCCCTTTTTTTCATCTTATGTCTTTTTTGTTTGTGTTGTCAAGTCATGATATTTATATATTCTTCTATGGTGTTATCTCTATTCTATAATCTGCAAATAAAAATGATCAGTTTGACTAATGTTAATTTATGTGTGCTGTCCATGATAAATAAGGTAAATGATTCTCACTTGTTGCAAAAATCCAATTCAGACAGTACCTGCTGTAAACATGCTTTGTGTAAAGGTGGTGTTGGTCATAATTGTGTGCTGTGTATGCTGACACAAGCGTGGCCCATGTGTCCACTGACTTGTTGAAGTTGATGAGCCAGATGGTGACCTCAGCAGGCGCCGTCTGGTCCCAGTGGATGGTGTATCCTTTGGCTAGTGTGATCACTGGCTGGAACTGCTGGTAGTGTTTCTTCTTCCCCAGTGCGCCCTCTAGTGTCAGGGGCCGGTCAGGGTACTCATCCCGCACTATGTGCATGTTTAGATTGGCAGGGTTACGCGTCTGGACGTAGATCTAAGGAAAACCAACCATAGAGTTAGAAGGATGATTCGAATATTTGGACAAAAATCTTAAATAGCCTTATCCACTATCATTATATATATTTTTTTCATTTTCTCTGATATAAATGACCCCTTGACTCAGTTGGTGTGGGTCAAGCACCTAATGTTCAACATCCCTGGTGTAGGTGTTTCATCAATTTAGCCATTCAGACTTAGGGCCAAAACACACCAGCGGTGAACAGCGTGTATCAAAAAAATACTCCCCCTGTTATTTTCAATGTACAACCTACTACAGATGCGTGAACATGTGTCCTGGACATGTCGCCCCACCGCACTTCATGCCACTGTCCCCCACTTGCTCTCTGCTTGTACATACCAGCTCCTGTAGCAGCTCTTTTTCTCTGCTCCTATGGCAGCTAAACTCCTCTCCTCACCACGGATAATGAGAACTCTGTTGCTGTTGCTCTGTCTCATGTGTGATGAAGAATGGATGAGGACAGACTCGTTGATGAGGACGAGAAATATCCCTAGTTAAACAACCACAGTCCCGACATTTTAAAGACCCTGGCCAAATAAACATTGCCTGGCAAGTCAAAGCTCTGGTGATTGGCTCTTGAGGTGAAATATCAACTTTAATTAGTGGTTGTTCACACATGATTTAAAGCCAATGCAGAGGTGGAAGACAGATCTTTCTGTAAAAGTAGTAATAACTGTGTGGTCATCTGTTAATGAGCTGCAGCGCAACATGTCTGATGTGTGCGAGGGGTGGCGCTTGATGCATGTTGCCATGCAGTGCCGCAGGGTGGCGGCACTGGTGTGTTTTCAGCTTTATACAGAATTTTGACCATAAAAACTGAAAAACATTTAAAAGAGGAGATAACACAAACTTGTACTGTACCAATGAAACGCTGGATTAATAAGCAATGAAATACACCCTTACCCAGTTCAAAACACTCAGTGGTTTTGCCTCTAAAGTCTTAGTTGGTCTGGTATGACCAGTAGCTTATTGTGGCAGATGGATTTTGCTGACATTACAACTGACATTAATTAGTTTGTTGACTTAATGGCTCTTCCCTGTTTGTACTTTTCTTATGCTGCCTTCTAGTATTTAAAATTATGTCCCAACTGTCTCTGTGACTACAGCTTTATCTGTTTAGCAAAGTAAAATATACTTGCTTTAGATACAACTTTTAAGTAAGATGACTTGTTGTTGGTAGGCACTTTGAAAGGGCTGTGCTATAGCAGTTTCCCCTTCTTCCAATCATTGCAGTGAGCTAGGCAAAACATGTACTGACTCAATTTGTGTACACATTGATTAATATAATCCTCTGTTTAAAAATATACAAATTTCAAACATTCAACTCACTGAATGTTAGAAAAACCTTATTTGCAAAAAAAATCACAAACAATAAATATTCTGTTTCTTGTTCAAAAGTTCTTCTAGCATTGCTTATTTTCCTGATAGCTACCAACATCATTAATGTGATTATACACACTGCAAAACAACCAGTGCATGACTGATTTCTCATTTCAAACAGAACAGGGATTATTAACTTATTTATGCTTTCAAAGAACTTTGACTGTAATATGAAAATACATGAACAGCCAAATAGAGTGTAACAGAAAGTAGATTAGTTTGTAAACACTGATTTGTGAATGAATTACCCACCTGTGCATAGTGGCCGCTGCAGATAGCTGCCTTCCAGTTGGGCACGTCGATGCAGTCGGGGTGCCGGAGCAGCCAGTTGTCCTCTTTAACCAGGAAGGCTCCTGGATACTCGCTGACTGAGCCGTCGATATCGTGAAAGATGGTTGTCTTGTCCCCGTCCATCTGCATCTTATTAAACCAGGGACCCGGCTCCCCAAAAAAGACCCGAGACGTGATCTACAGAAGAGGGATGGAGTGAAAGGCATACATTTGCAGCTGCACATAGTGGGTACTTTATGTCCATATACATCAATTATGATCATATCTAAAATTACTAAGTTTCCAAATGCACTCTGCTTCTTCTCTCTACAACATATAAAAAATGGTTAAGGCTCCGTTTTTTCAATTATCACCAAAAAATATTTGTAGGCTACTGTGAAATGGCTTATTCTGATTTGAACTCCTACAGATTACACTAAATGGGGTCGTGGTGAGGACAGTTCCGAATGCCTCAAAAAGACGCTTGAACGCCGGTCAGACGCGCCATGTCATAGGAAAACAATGGTTTTACTGGCGTCGCGTTTCTAGCGTTTCATCTCGGTGTGATCGCTCCCTAACTCTTTAATATCTCCACCTTCTTCTGAAAAACATTATAAAGACTCACCAAAGTCATAACCTAAAAAAACACAACTGGACAAATTTATTTAAGGATAACAAAATTGCACATTTTGACAGACAGACAGACAGACAGATAGACAGAAAATGACAGAGAGTTGAATGGTGCTCATTCTAAACTGTATGAACTGTGTCTGAAAATTGTGTGTGTGTGTGTGTGTGTGTGTGTGAGAGAGAGTGAGTGAAAGAAAACCCGTTTAATATTCCAATAAACTAATGTTAATATCCAATGATGAAAGATGATACTTAGATCTTTTACTTAAGTAAAAATAGTAATACCACAGTGTGACCATTCTGTCACAAGTAAAACTCCTGTTTTCAAAATCTTAAAGTTACGTACTCATTATGTAGAATGGCCCATTTCAGAATAATGGATATAATATTACTGAATTATAATTATTATGTGTATATGTCTATAATCATATGATCATTTCATATGTTGTATCAAAAATCTGAATCTTCAAAGTAACTAGTGACTCAAAAAAATTAGTGGAGTAAAAATACAATATTTGCCTCTGAAATGTGGAGGAATTAAAGTAGCATTAAATGGAAATACTGCAGTACCTCCAAATTGTACTTAAGTTGGCCTAAAGTACTTTGGCATCTCATTTCCATTCAAAGCAGACATCTTAATCACTGAAACATTGAAATATATTTACTTACTTTCTTTGTGAATTTAAAAATATTGATATTGATAGTTGTTAGTAAAACAGAATACTCCACAACATCACTATCATTAAACATTTGTTGACTAGAGCTGGAAAACCAGTTAACTGTATTTATGTTGAATGATGATATTGAATGAATGTTAACTTTTGGTTGAGTGCATAAAAAAGCATCAAAATAGAGCTTGTTTTGTTTTAAACAAGGTTCTGCAGGTCCAGAGCTGTATACATTATAAATGCGACCTGATGGTGAATTGATTCAAAGGGATGCTTTGCTGATTTTCGATTAGGTCTGGGTCGCCACGGTGTTAGGAGTTTGTATAAATGAACAGTGTTTGCCTTACTGCTGTGGTGCCAGCAGTCAGTGTTGCCAACTTAGCGATTTTGACGCTATATTTAGTGCCAGCAGTGCCAGAAACTTCCTGCCCCTGCTGTGAGCAAAAATCTGCCAGATGATTACACATTACAGGCCCGTGGATGGGCAGGGAGCTTTGAGGACTGGTGGCTTGGGGGGCCTTAACTGTTTTCATCTGCACACACTCCCATAAGCAGAGCTGCCGTGTGGTCATGGCTGCTGCTGCCCCAGGGCCCCCACCTAGTACGAGCCTCCTGATAGGTTTTCTCTTAATCACTGTCAATAGTGGTCACTGTTGATGTCCAATAGAGGGCTGGAAGGTGGCTTCCTCGCACTGTTGCCAACTCCTCAGAAAGAAAAGTAGCTATTGGCTGTCCTAAAAGTCGCTAGAAGCCACTAAATGATGTCATCGCCTAATTTGCATAATTGTCCATATGCATGTAATTGTAATGGATGCTGTAGGAGAGAGGAATAACGTCGTGGGAGAGACAAAAACTGAGTAAAAAAACACCCTGAATATGTTTAGAACTACAAATGAACCTTCTTTCAGTGATTTATATTAGACAAAGACAATTTTACATTTACATCCCGCCCTGACTGTAAACCAGGTCAGGATCAGCCAGTGGCAGTTCCGCGCATGTGCGATTCACTAGCAGTCTGGACGTGGAGGGGTTAACATCTCCTGCTCTGACTGCAGCTGGGAGGGAGGACTGGGCCGTCTGTGAGTGCTCTGGGGCGAGAGAGGAGCCCACGGCAGCATCCGCTGCTCGTTGAGAAGTGTAAGAATGATACGTGCTCTCACAACAGAGTCTCCAGAAGTCTTCAATAACATCAGAAAAAGTTGCTAGATTTGTCACTAGTCGCTTTTTTGAAAAAGAGTCGCTAGAGAGATCTGAAAAGTCGCTAAATATAGCGACAAAGTCACTAAGTTGGCAACACTGCTTCCTCGTCCTTGAACTGTATACCATCTCTGCACAGCCAATTTTTGCTGTATACATGTACTGCCAATTATGCAGATTCAGCTGGTCTCATGAAATGTAACAGCTAGCTCACTCATGGTTAATACTGTAAACCAGCACAGGAATGACAATTACAACAAAAATCACTATTTTTTGAGCATACACATTAAAAATACCATAAATCCTAGAGTAACATTTGTATTTCAGAAAAATGGCAAACTTAACAACTAATTTCAAAAACTACTCTCTTCAACGCCATGTATCATGGGGATTCTAGGGCGCAGACGTCACTAAGCTGCAACGTAAATATACATAAGCCTTGTTCCAATCCACTCCGGTTTGCTGTTTAAATTATTTTAAACGGAGCAATCCATTCCCATCAGCAATGCCAGCACCAAACCAAGTTCCAGCCGCCTGGGGCTCATTAAGAGCTCTTTGCTCTTGTGAATGGATGAGGTCAGACTGTCAAACCTCACTTTGCTCTGTGTGGAGCGGGAGATAAATACTGACAAGGACAAAGTGGCAAAAAGTTTTGAAAAGGAACCATAATACGTGCGTTTACATGGAGCCATGTATTCCTTTTGCATTGGGGTTGGAGGCCCTACCCGAATAGAAATGCTCCTTGTAAACACCTCAACCCAAATGAAAACAGCCAACCCGAAAGAAAATCTAATTGGGTGCACAGGGGTGGAATATTCCTTTTCAGAACCCGAATGGAAGAGTTTTTCTGTCTTGTATAGACCTCCTACCCGATTACAGCCATTCTGTTCTTTCTGCGCATGCTCGTTGCCGATGACGTGTACAGCGTGCATAGCAACGGGCTGAGATAGAGCAGTTGGACACGGAGCACTCACCGGTTTTCATTCGCCAAAGCACGGCCATCTATCTCCCTTCTTCGACCTTCTACCTCCCTTCTCCTCCTCAACAAACGAAGTATTAGCAGAACAAGGTTGTTGTCGTACTGCTGCTTCAAGAATATAAGCAAAACAAGCCAAAAAAAAGCACTAAGAACGGCATCGTCAAGCATCTTGTTATCCGGAACGAGGACTACAGTGTTCTCTTCCGGTAAATGTAACATTGCCCCGCCTCCTATCCAATCAGAAACCTTCCCTGCCCCAAACCTTGTGTAGACCCAAATAAAGGCGATTAAACTGATCTCCCGTGTAAACCCTCATTCGGAATGAATATTTCCCATGTAAACTACCTGGAAAGACTTTAAATCCAAATGATTTCATTCAGATTTATTTCATTCCGAATGAGAAACCATCATGTAACCGCACCTAATATGTAAACTGATATCTAAACTAAACTAGCAGATAGAGCAAGGACAACAACTGGTAAGTAAAAAAAAAAAAGATCTGTCTTTAATAACTTACATTTTGGTTCTAAAGAAGTCAGTCAGAATGTTTCCTGCATCTCAGCACCTGTCTGTGTCACTACCTGCAGTGTTGCAGATGGACTTTCTGTTGGAGTATGCCTGATATAGACCGCTGTTTATAATTGTGTGTAAAGACATGGCACTGACTGAGACAGTACATTTGGTCTGTTCAGCACCACTGCTGTCAATCAGCTGTCTCTCCCTAACATGGGAGTTTAAGGTGAAGAGAGCTAGCAGCATGGGTTGGTTAGCAGAAGCTCCGGGATAACCGATCAGCTCAGAGTCGACAGACCATGAAATGGAGGTTTCAACACTGTTACTTTACTCTACTTAACATCGACCATACATGCCAGGTCTCCATGACACTATGCTCTCTTATTATACATGGGCAGTAGAACATAGTCAATATAACTCATTACTATTCAGAGACGTCTCGTGTTGGGAGTAGTGTGGTGACACTGTGTTCAACTCTCAAGTTATATCACAACAAAACAAAAAGAAAGCACCACCTTGTGATACTATCTGGCATTACAGTATTACTACAAACCTGGCTGTTACATCAGCACAGTGCCATTCTTAGTGCTGAAACATTTTAACTTGACTGGCAATCTGTTTTCTTTATTTGTTCTTCAGAACAAGCTTGTCCGACAAAGTGGCTTTACTGTATAGTTTAGCTTGGGTCAACAAGTGCCACGTTATGCATAGTATATGGATATATACACTGATTTACAGTTGTGAGCTTTAAAATGACTTAGTCACAGGGGCCCCTGAGAAAGTTCTGCCCACACTCTGCTAAGAGTCTAGATCCACCCCTGCACACTCCTCACACAGACCTGGCTGAAAATTGGAAAAGTATCCCTTTAAGTCTCACTCTAGTCAAGAAACGAAAGTTGTCAACCCTGCTATTGCAACAGTCTAAATTTTGAAGTCTTAAACCTTTAAGCTTTCAATGAATATTTTTTGGTTTTACCAACTAACAATAGTTAGACACATAACATATTCTAAAAGTTACATATTGCATTTTGTCCATTCACAATATAAAGGTGCCCTGTGGAGTTGTCTCATGAACAAACAAATAATTGAATGTATTTCCTTCTTCATTAAACAGCTGTAAAACCAATTGAAAAAAAAAAGAGAGAGAAAAAAAAAAGAGTGGCGGGAATGTGTATTGCGTTGCCTGTGTGCTCATGTACATGCATGATAAAAACAAAACAGGGACCCACTCACAAAAAAAACCATTTGATCCATACTGCCTCTCAGGGTCAAAAACTTCACCTTTACCTTTATAGTACCAAATAGTCTAGGACTGGAGCCCATTTAAAGCTTGCTTCTCTAATGTAAGAATCTTTACATTCTCATTTCATTTCTAAGCACATCGTCTGTTTCCTACTAATGTCTCTGGTTAAATCAGTCCAGATGTTTTGTGTAATTCACATAGAAATGGACTCACAGGTACTTGGTCAAAGATGATGTCAGTGATGTTATTGTTGGGGCAGCTCTGCCACGAGTTGTTGAGCCTGAAGCCAAAGGCACTGGTGTGCCGTCCATCCAGCGCTGTATATTTCCGAAATGTACAGTTCTGCATGTTGATGGGACCGTCATAGATCTGCATGCCCCGGATAGGAAAATCACTGTAGGGAAACATAAATCCACACGGACATCAACCCATCAGCAATTTACACTCAGGGTTTTGTTGCACACGCATAAGTAGTATTATGACGATCTAGTGCAATGTAATGTGCGTACTACTCCATGCTTCAACAGAAGAAGCATGGTTTCCCATCTTATACTGATATTATTGACCTGAATCATATGTTTGTAGTTCAGGACTAGGGTCCATTGACTGACTTTTATGTACCTTCACCACTCACTGTGGACAATGTTTGAAGGTTTAAAGACTATTTGCCACAGCAGAACTGGTCTTGTAAACTGATTTTAGTCTAAGAAATACATTTTCATCCAAACTTGGAAAGGCTTGCCTCCTTCCTTCGTATGCACATACACCAGATTTGTTTTTCAGTAACAATTGTCTTTGTCACACTCTTCTGTCTTCTGTAACGTTTATCCACAATAGTGTGCCAGCATAGCATATACCAAAAACATTTCTATTAACATTTGATTCTCTGAGAAAAATTAGAAATAGAAGATGGCAGGGCACTCTAAGGGGGATCAAAGGGAACAGATGACCCCAGCCCAAAGTCAAGGAGTGGGTGAGGGGGGCATGAACAGGTATATGGCTAACCCTTAAATGGGATGAAGTGCAACAATTTAGTTAAATCACTGACAGTACAAGTTATATGTATTTAAGTGATAACTAAATGTATTTTTATTATTAAAACATATTTCAGTGTGCCATCTGATACTCCACTCCCCACAGGTATTGTGAAGCGGTGCAGTCCATCTGACAGAGGAAGTCAGGTGTGCAGAACACACAAGTGTTGCTAAAGTAAACTTGTGAGACCGACTGCAGCCTGACTACTTAAGTAAGAATGCCTCACCAAAAATAGAGAGCTCCTCAAAGAAAAACCAGGATACAGAGAGAACAAGAAGGTGAAAGAAGCAGGAAGACAACAATGAAGTGGCGGCAAAAAAAAAAAAAAAAATCGTAAATGGAGCACCAGGTATGACAGGCAGAGCTGAAGGTGAGAAGTAGGGCAGACTCAATTTTTACCAAATAAAACTTGCTGTATCGGGCTGAGTTTTAAATTTACAGTGAAGACACAGGTATTTAACTAGAGGACCTAAGGCATCCATTGGTACCAACCATGTTATGATAAGATAAGATAAACTTTATTGTCCCAGGCGGGAAATTTGTTTTGGGCACCAATTGCAGCAGCTATCATTACACTGGGTCTGTACATTGTTGACGGTTGGCTTTGAGGGCAATCCTTTGGTCACTACACACAAAGCTCTCCTCTTGGCCATGGCACAGTAGACTATGGCATTACAGCCCTTGACCCCATCGGTTTTAAGATCAAGCATGGAGTTGTAATTTTCGCACACAATAAAGGAATCTCTGGCACTACCTGTCCCTCTGGGCTGTTTCTAAAATTGCTACAGCCTGAAACACCTGATATTATGGCAGCTTTTCTAAAAACTTTAAATGCATGTTTCAGTGTTAACTGGTGATTTTTTTTAAATGAAATTGCAGGGGCAAGTGAAAACTCCAAAAGTAGTTGTGATACTGTCTTGGATTTGAAGCTCACTATTATGAACATTCAGTGTTTTTCACAGAATATATTTGTGAGGGCAGGGCTGGTGGGGGGCTGCTGCCAATCAGCTGTTAATGCCGTTAGATGCAGTGCTGAAGGATGTACCAATGAGAAGCTCCTCTCCTGCTCTCTGTATCAGGTTAGCAAGGGCTAACACAGCACAGTGTGATCTCAACCCTACTCGTCATATTTTGCCATTTGGGCTGAAGCCCCGCAGCAGCGGTTAATCCGACACCAAGCTGTTTATCTCACACCGCCACCTAAATGACTTAACTTTGTCATTAAATCTGTTGTGATAACCATTGGGTAAAGTTTGCCATGTGATGCTAAGCAGTTGCCCTGTCACTGTGTGTGACTCTGTCCCAGGCACAGTGCTCTGGTCCTGCAGCAGTAGTGTCATGATAAACGGGGGGGGGGGGTGCTGAGCATGAATCAATATGCTGCACCCAGGTCTACAATGAAATGAGATTTGAATGTTTTAAATAGTCAAATTTGTGGTGAAGTTGTGGTGATTGGACAAAATTGCAAGGTCATGCAGAATTCAAAGGGATTGGCTAAAATTGCATTAACTGTTCCGATCGCAACATCCTGGAGGGACTGTAACACAGCTTTTGAGACATTCCCTCCTTTTCTCTGCTAAGCCATTTCTATTAAACTGGGACTCCACCTAAAATATACTTTGGCTAAGGAAAAGTAGCTGTCAAATGTTCTCACTTTGCTTCTCCATGAGGAACAGCAGTTAGGGTCAGTTTGAATTCGTGTCAGTTTTAAAGGATTGACAAGTTGTCACTGCAGAGAAATCTGCACAGCTCATCAGACCATTCCTTCTTTTTCACTGTCCATTCATATAAGCTCACTATGTTCCATATAGACAGTTTACGCACACACACACACGCACACGCACACACACACACACTGATGCAGCTGCAAATTCAGATGATGAGAGTAGAGTTTGTGGGCTGTAAAACCAAAACAACATGCTAATAAAGTCACTTACATGCCACGTGGCAGAGTTCTTCCAATAAGGTCAGAACCCCCGAGGCCCCAGATCCTGTTGTCAAGGAGGGGCATTCCACGATTTTCACTTTCACCCACAAACAGTGAGTTTTTCACCTGCTGATGAGAGCCATCATCATCTGGGAATGTCCCTCCACTGCACACAAAGATGGAGAGTTAGAGTCTGGAAGTGTGAAAGTAGTAGTAGTGCGTGTAGTGATAGTAGTATTGGTAAAGTAGCACTGTAGCATCAGTATTGTAAAATTTCTAAATTTTGAATATATTATTCAAACATCCCAATCATTATTCAAGGGATTGAAAACTGTGATTGTGTTTCTTTGTTGAGTAAATGTAGCATCTAACATCAATATAAAAACTACAGGTGTGTTATGTAATACATTGTATATGTACTTTCAGTGCTAAATATAATCTCGCTCATTTAGTGATGTGAATAATTACATTGCACATGTAAAGATGGCCTATTTCTCTGTTTTCACTGCAAGCAGAACAAACAGATGCAGATAGAAAGGTAAATCGCACAAACTGAGAATAACAAGCAGTGTTCATGAATTAACAGAGGCTGAGGTGAGGTCAAACCAGAAGAGCCATTACAGTTTACGATGCTGTCAGAGTTTATGGGCAACAAAAAAACCCCCGAATACATAAGGAAGTGGCTGAAGACAAAGTAATCACTGAGTGGATACACAATATGAGGTATCAGTAACTGTTCATTTGTTTATTTTGTGGGTGTGTATGTTAGCCTAGTTTTGTGTTCTTTTTCAAATATAGAGGCCCATGCATACTTCAAAAACTTGAAGACAGGTGTGTAGGAGGGAAGTGTCCATAGGCGAAGAAAAGGGAATTCCCCCAAACTGTCCTGTTACTTGATATAAACTTTATTAGAAACATAATGTTTTCATCAGATTAGGTAAAAGAACCAAGAAAATTTAAACACATAAGTGATGCCTACTATGGTGAGGCCAATCAGAGGCCATGAGCTGACAACGCAATCAGTCCTACTATCTTTGTGTATTTTATCTAATAGAAGGCACCTCCCATCTTCAAATATGATCTTTGTCAGCAATAACTGCATAAACATATACACTGAAAAATATAATGTTTAAAACGATGCATAAAAAAACAGTAATTAAGTCAGGCTACTAGTAAATCTGACGGCAAAACCATAACAACTCATTTTTTGCCACCTCACATTTTAATAATTTCAAACTAACCAATGGGTGATGTCACAGTGGCTATGTCCATTATTTTTACAGTCTATGGTTCAAACACAACGGGCTTGGGTTTCGTAGACCGGGCAACTGGGTGTGGCCAGGCGGATTTTGCAAGTTTGGCACACTGTGCGCCTGGCGCAGCAACTCCTCTATCCCACCTCCGTCCCTCCTACCGGCGCAAGTCGGAAAGAGGGAGGAGAGAAGGCGTGGAGTGGGTTTTACACACATCACACCAATCAAATGAGCCCCTCTCCTCGCCCTTAAATGCGCCGCGCGAAGGCGTAATGAGAGTTTACTCAATTCGCCATGGCGGAAGAGAGCAGCAGCGTTAGACGGCCAAACTCCTCCCAGGAGGAAACTGATGTTTTGGTCCGAGAGGTCCAAGCTCGCAGTGTCCGAATATACGGAACTGGGCTGATGATGCAAAGGTAGCCTGGGAGGAGGTCACCACAATTGTAAATCAATGTTGCGTTTCTCTCGTGCGCGCGCGCTCTCTCTTTCTCTCTCGCAGTCTCACTCTGTTTCTTTTCTTTTGACTTTTCTAAGATGACAGATGCTGAATATATACTCCCTATCTGATGCTGTGGCTGTTTGTGGTTGGCTGAGAGGGATGTGAACTCATTAGTTTGCAGCTGTTTAATCAAATCAAGTTGTACGCGTGCCAAATGTGCCAAACGGTGCCAATCCCCTTTGATCTGACATCAGATGTGACGGGACAGTTGATATAGAGATACATTTATGTGCTGATTGCAGATAGTTGCATTGAATAGTGTTTTTTTTGGGGTATTTATTGCATCGTTAATGTGCCTGATATTCTGGAAACCTGCCTGTGAGGTTTTGGTGAAGTGTGCGCACTGTCCGCTGGTCAGCCAAACTTTGGTTTACACCGGCTGCGCTCCCCCTGCGCTGACAGTAGACCTGGTTTCAGTTGGCGAGCTTTTAGCGCACCTTCGGCGAAGCCTTTTGGCACGAAACTGTCACTGCGCCAAGCTGGATCGGTCGACACCTCTCCCTGCTGCGCCGCCACACCCATCTCAGCGCACCTTGGTCTGCCAAACTACCAAACTGAGCGCGCCTCGGAACTTCTTGCTGTTACTGTTGAAGCCTGGGTAAACACTATGTAATAACAGTGCCTACTCTAACTCTGACAAAGGGATGTGAGGGTTTAAGCAGGGTTTTTAGTTTTAATCAGTGGCTTCAGAGTCTGTGTTTTGCCAGTTTTAGCTTTACTGATCATTTTAATGCTTTTTGGAATAGAAGGGACTTGTATAAAAGAGATAATCTTCACCCCAACAAAATGAGCACAGGTTTGCTCACAGCAAATTTTGTCTCTTTTATTAATACCCAGCCCTGCTTACTATTCAGTGCATTCCCCTCCCAACAGTGCCTAGATGAGTCAAAACAAAACGAGATAGCTACCATTTGTGGTAGAAGACAGACCACTGTGAATAAAGTTCAGCAGCAGTTACTTTCAACTTCTGTCACGTCCAATTTAATTAAAAATTTTATGCCTTCCATTGCCAGTGCAGTCAACAAATTGCAGTCTTCTTAATGTAAGATCACTGGTAAATAAATGTTTCCTATGTAATGATTTTATTCTGTCAAATGACCTTGATCTCTTCTTGTCACAGAGTCCTGGCTGTCACAAAATGACTGCGTCCCCCTACTCGAAGCCTGGTTACTGTTTCTTAAATCAGCCCAGAAAATAAAGCAGGGGTGGTGAGATTATTCACAGAGAAAAATTAAGATGTTCTAGCATTGTTCTTGGTCTTTTTAGCACTTTGGAAGCCCTTCCTTTTCTCATCAAAGGAAAATCACCATGTTTGTGTGTGATAATATAGACCGCCTAAACATTCCACATTTATCAGTGACTTTGCTGAGCTGCTCTCTGAAACGCCACCTCGTTTTGTTCCTCATTCTTGGTGATTTTAATGTACATGTCTGCTGTCCCTCTGACCAACTGGGCTGGAAGTTTTTAAACTTGTCAGAGTCTTTTAAACTAACGTGGTTGGACTGGTCTTACTCACAAAAAAGGGCCATACTCTTGATCTTGTGTTATCTCATGGTACAGAGAGTCCAGACATCAAATGTGTAGATCTCTTTTTCTCTGACAACCAGTGTCTTGAGTTTGATTTTGTTACCTAATGTAAATTTGGCGCCCTGTTCCTGGAATTTTTAACTCATCCTCTGCTGCTAAACACTGCTTTCAACTTCCATACTTGTCAATCTATCCTGCCCTTTTCTGCAAGTGAGATGCTAAATAGTTTTAATAATTCATTTTCCACCATATTAGATCAAATTGACCCATTCAAACACAAATGCAGTAACACTTTATATTAAGGCACTGTAATAAGCTTTAATTAATGCTTAATAAGCACCAATTAACAGTTAATGAGCACTTATAAGACATAATAGGATGTTTATTACCATTAATAGGACTATATACAGTACAGGCCAAAAGTTTGGACACACCTTCTCATTCAATGCGTTTTCTTTATTTTCATGACTATTTACATTGTAGATTCTCACTGAAGGCATCAAAACTATGAATGAACACATATGGAGTTATGTACTTAACAAAAAAAGGTGAAATAACTGAAAACATGTTTTATATTCTAGTTTCTTCAAAATAGCCACCCTTTGCTCTGATTACTGCTTTGCACACTCTTGGCATTCTCTCCATGAGCTTCAAGAGGTAGTCACCTGAAATGGTTTCCACTTCACAGGTGTGCCTTATCAGGGTTAATTAGTGGAATTTCTTGCTTTATCAATGGGGTTGGGACCATCAGTTGTGTTGTGCAGAAGTCAGGTTAATACACAGCCGACAGCCCTATTGGACAACTGTTAAAATTCATATTATGGCAAGAACCAATCAGCTAACTAAAGAAAAACGAGTGGCCATCATTACTTTAAGAAATGAAGGTCAGTCAGTCCGGAAAATTGCAAAAACTTTAAATGTGTCCCCAAGTGGAGTCGCAAAAACCATCAAGCGCTACAACGAAACTGGCACACATGAGGACCGACCCAGGAAAGGAAGACCAAGAGTCACCTCTGCTTCTGAGGATAAGTTCATCCGAGTCACCAGCCTCAGAAATCGCAAGTTAACAGCAGCTCAGATCAGAGACCAGATGAATGCCACACAGAGTTCTAGCAGCAGACCCATCTCTAGAACAACTGTTAAGAGGAGACTGCGCCAATCAGGCCTTCATGGTCAAATAGCTGCTAGGAAACCACTGCTAAGGAGAGGCAACAAGCAGAAGAGATTTGTTTGGGCCAAGAAACACAAGGAATGGACATTAGACCAGTGGAAATCTGTGCTTTGGTCTGATGAGTCCAAATTTGAGATCTTTGGTTCCAACCGCCGTGTCTTTGTGAGACGCAGAAAAGGTGAACGGATGGATTCCACATGCCTGGTTCCCACTGTGAAGCATGGAGGAGGAGGTGTGATGGTGTGGGGGTGTTTTGCTGGTGACACTGTTGGGGATTTATTCAAAATTGAAGGCACACTGAACCAGCATGGCTACCACAGCATCCTGCAGCGACATGCCATCCCATCCGGTTTGCGTTTAGTTGGACGATCATTTATTTTTCAACAGGACAATGACCCCAAACACACCTCCAGGCTGTGTAAGGGCTATTTGACCAAGAAGGAGAGTGATGGAGTGCTGCGGCAGATGACCTGGCCTCCACAGTCACCGGACCTGAACCCAATCGAGATGGTTTGGGGTGAGCTGGACCGCAGAGTGAAGGCAAAGGGGCCAACAAGTGCTAAACACCTCTGGGAACTCCTTCAAGACTGTTGGAAAACCATTTCAGGTGACTACCTCTTGAAGCTCATGGAGAGAATGCCAAGAGTGTGCAAAGCAGTAATCAGAGCAAAGGGTGGCTATTTTGAAGAAACTAGAATATAAAACATGTTTTCAGTTATTTCACCTTTTTTTGTTAAGTACATAACTCCACATGTGTTCATTCATAGTTTTGATGCCTTCAGTGAGAATCTACAATGTAAATAGTCATGAAAATAAAGAAAACGCATTGAATGAGAAGCTGTGTCCAAACTTTTGGCCTGTACTCTAAGTGTTAATTATAGCATAATTAACAGTTATTATTACATATAGGAGCATTATAAGCACTTAATAGAAACTTGATAACAGTTTATAAAGCTATCCTAAATATTAATAAGATGTCTATTTACATTAATTATGATTTATAAGGGTTAATTATAGAATAATAACCACTATTTATTACTGGTTTATAAGACACTATAAGACCCTATCAGATTAAATTAATAAGGTGTTATTAATAGTTAACAATGATCCTTTGCAGCTACCGGATCTAAAGTGGGAACAGTGTCGTATAAAGGTTAATAAATTATTAATATGCTCTCAGGGCTTGAAACGAACAGTGTCCCGATGCCCCGGGGACTATAAAAATTGGTACTGAGACACAAAGATGATGTGCCTGGGACAATTCCGGGACAGCAAAAAAAGTCAAATATCGAAATGGGTGTTATTTACAATGTCATTACGTATGGGTATCTGAACGTCGCTTTTGTCGTTCGATTAATTTCAATAAAAACTTATGAACAGCAAAAATACAGTGGCTTTTGCTGCACCTGATCTGGCTCCACAGACACGCACATGCACACACACATGGAACCCCTTCTTGGGTCCACGCTCTCCCTCTCTCCGCTGTTGCCTGCAGTAATTTCTCTATCGATACAGCCCATAATGCATCTAATCGGCTATTTGAAGTGTCACCTCTTCAGAGCGAAGCATGTCAATTCTGTTATGAAATTTGTGTTATTTGCAAAGTCATCACATCTAGACATAATTTTGACGTTACTTTTAATCGTTTGACCAGAAAGTTAAGAACTAGTAAAGGCTATCGCCAAACTGTGCAAAATGCATCCTGGGATATTCACTCAACTCACTGGATGCCACTCGCCACCTATGCTCGCCACTCCTCATCAGAGGACAGAACCTAGCAAGGCTGAGATGGCTGAAAAAACTGATGCAAACTCCTCCAGTGCCGCTCCAGTTGGAGTAGGATGCAACACTTGGCTTCGGGACTCTGAAGACGATTTTTCATCTGTTTCTGCTCCTGTGATAAGTTAGTTTGTTAAAACAAGAGGTAAGTTAGTTTGTTAAAGTAACATTAGGCTTTTGGCTAGCTTGTTGATCTTTAGCTAATTCTAGTTCTTTGTGATAGGTTAAGGTTAAGGTCCAATTGATTGTCACACACCTGAGTGTGTGAAATTTGTTCTCCCTGAGGGAGTGGTGAGCAGCAGCGGTGCCGCGCTCGGGAATCAGCGCTCGGGAATCAGCGCTCGGGAATAATGTGGTGATCTAACCCCCAATTCCAACCCCTGATGCTGAGTGCCAAGCAGGGAGGCAATGGGTCCCATTTTTATAGTCTTTGGTATGACCCGGCCAGGGATTGAACCCACGACCTCCCAGTCTCGGAGCAGACACTCTACCACTAGGCCACTGAGCTGGCCAACACTAGCAGCTCAGCTAATCATGTAACATTACATGATGGCCTTACAAAGTTATAAAATGTGACTGTGTGTTCTAAATGTTGATGTTTATGATAATGATGGTAACATTACAGTTAATCAGAAGAGGTGTACTTGGTTCATTCATGTCAGTAATAATTACAGTAATAATTAGGCTAGCAGCTTTAGCTACAGAGATGAAGGTCATGCTTGAACTAGCAGCCAGTCATATTTCTAAATTTCCTACAGGTAAGCTGAGTATAATGAACACCCAGATAACAGTAGTATGTTTTAGCAGAACCTTAGTGTGTAACTGTGACACTCAGAGACATTGACTTTGATCGTGATTAACAGAGTGTGTGTGTCGCGGCTTGTGGAGGGTGTCGCTAGAAATAGCTTCGGTAGGTAAGTGCGTCGCTAATGACGTTCTGTGTGAGTTAAAGTGAGTGAGATGTGTGTGAAGATGCATAAGGTTGAGATACAATACGTCTGCATTAAAATGTAGATTTTACATCAGTTGAGGCTTGAACTCATGACCTTTGACATCAAGGAGCATCTTCTATCTATCTGAATTGCAGCCCCCAACCTGTAGCCATTTCTCTCTCTCTCTCTCTCTCTCTCTCTCTCTCTCTCTTTCTGTGTGTGTGTGTGTGTTTTCATCTCTCTTGTGTCTAGACCAAACTGAACAAATATTTATAGACGGACAAGCAACATCATGATTAAACAGGCTTTTATTTTTAAAATTTATTTTATTTTGAAAATTGGCCATTCTCTCATCTGTGTCTGACTTCCTGTTTGGTACGATCTGCTCTATCCAGCTTAACAGAAGCGATCGCAGCTCGTGTGAAAAATAGACCAGACGGCGAACTGAAGCACTGCAGTGCACAAGCCTCTGTGGGCGCTCTGCTTTGCTCAGCGGCCTGTGTGGACAGTCAGTCAGATAGGTTAACATGGGCGGCGATTGAAAACTGCCTCCGCTGCTGGGCGCTGCGCTTCGAATATTCCTGCGCCGGAAATCCAGCACCGTACCGGAGAACTTCAAGCCCTCATTATCACTCTTGTGAAACCATTGTGAGAGTAATTCAGTACTAGGCTGTGGATTAAAAACAAGGGAAGTTAGATTAAATGTGTTTATGGGTTTAATTCTGAGCCTTCTCTTTCAGAGGGATGTGCTGACATTGCAGATGGTTGTCTTGTAGCCATGCAGATAAACAAAATAAACTCCCTAGAGAGGAATTAATATGCTACGGTGTATGTTTAGCAATCGTGACAGTGAAAATTTTTCCTTCTGTATTTCAGACAGACCCAGGTCAGCATCTGAAGCAGTTCCTGGATGAAGTGGGACCTTTTCTCGGAAACACTTTCTCTGGTGTAAAACTCAACAGGAAACAAGTGGATGACAATGACTTCCACAAAGTGAAAGATAAACTTATCAGTGGCTTCCGTAACAACCTCACCATGCGGTTTGGCAACCTTGATGAGGGTGTCTTGAAGGCCGCTGCCACCATGTTTGACCTAAGCAACTGGCCTGAAGACATCACTGACCTGGCCACCTTTGGCCTGGCCAATGTTGAGACTTTTGTCACTCACTTTCAGAAAACTGATGGGTTACAGGGAGCTTTGTGGAACACTGTATTCCCAAACAGTCAATCTAAGTAACAAAACTTTTGAAAAAGCCAAATGAACCCAGATCTGTCTTTTTTTTTTAGAACTCAACTATTAGGGTTTCCAATCCTTTTTTCCTGTTTTTGACAATAGTGATTGCATTAAAAATCAATATGAAAAGGAAACACGTCCTTATGTTGTGTTTTCACCACCATTGGTAGGCTGAATTCTCATCATGAGTGAATAAAGCAGCTAACTCTGAGTCAATCTGCTCAAATTTTTTAAGTTCAAATAGCTCATGTTTGTCTTAGTGTGCCATTTTGAGGAAATGAGAATCCCATGATCCCTTGCTAAAGAAAATAATAACATACTAGAGTGAAAAGAATGCATCAGAATTCTTTAATGTTGAAATAATGATTGATATCTGGATGTTGCAATAGGTGCATAATTAATAGAATTATTAACTTCAGTGAGTGCATAATGAAGAGTTTATGAATGTCAACAAGACACTGTTCCCACTTTAGATCCAGTAGCTGCAAAGATGCATTATGACCTGTTAATAAGTGCATATTAATAATTTATTAACGTTTATACGACACTGTTCCCACTTTAGATCTGGTAGCTGCAAAGGATCATTATTTGCTATTAGTAAGTGCATAATTAAGCATTTATTAACGTAATATGGCATTTCTATTAACTTCTTATAGTCTCACTAATGTTAATAAACATCTTGTTAATATTGATAAATTGTCTATAAACATTTAAGGATGTTCTAGTACCCAATAATATCTTATAAGCCAATAATAAATGTGTTGTATACTATTATTAACTCACATAGGAAAGAAGCAAGCACTCTCAAAATAAATCCACTCAACAGGTGCACGGCCAAAAGCAGCAGAAAAAAGAAAAAGGAAAGAAGCCAGCACTCACAAATGTCCTTTTGGTAAATTTAATAAACCAACTTGGGTGGCGTTACCAGAAACACAGACGTTTCGACAGAAAGTGTGTGTGACACACTGAAGAAGACTTTCTGTTGAAACGTCTGTGTTTCTGGTAACGCCACCCAAGTTGGTTTATTAAATTTACCAAAAGGACATTTGTGAGTGCTGGCTTCTTTCCTTTTTCTTTTTATACTATTATTAACTCTCTTATTAATGTTAATAAACACCTTATTTATTTCATCTTACAGGGGCTTATAGTGTCTTATAAACCAGTAACAAATGTGGTTATTATTCTATAATTAACCCTTATAAATTATAATTAATGTAAATAGACATCTTATTAATATTTAGTATAGGTTTATAAACTGATAACAAAGTTTCTATTAAGTGCCTATAATGCTCCTATAAGCAATGATAACTGTCAGTTATGCTGTAATAAACACTTATAGTCTAATGTTAATAAGCACTTTATACTGTCTTATAAGTGCTCATTAACTGTTAATTTGTGCTTATTAAGCATTAATTAACGCTTATTACAGTACCTTAATATAAAGTGTTACCCAATATTTTTATCCATAAGAATATGACTAGTGTGTGTGTGTGTGTGTGCGTGGTGGTGGTGGTGGTGGTGGTGGTGGTGAATTCCATACCTTGCTAGAGTGAGGCCAATACCATTATCAGCAAATCTATACAAGGAAGAGAGAATATTATCACTGGGTACAGCTACACTCTGAGGTCTCCACACGCAGACACACAAACACAGACTTAAGCTGTAAATGGTTATTAGACAGAAATGAATTTCTTGCTTTCATCTCTGTCATCAAATGTACAGAAAAACAAACTGTGCTACCTGAAACTCATACTGAGGAATTTGACTGACATTCTGTTGCACTGGAAGTTGACAGACTTCGCTTAGGCAAATATATATTCACTTATTTATCTATCAATATCAATATCACTATCTTGATTTATGAATGCAGTACTCACTGGCAGTCATCCAGCCAGACATCCCCTCCTCTCAGCCAGGCTCCATGGTCTTGGTTCTTATAGGCTACAAAATGGTGAATTAGAGCAGGGACTCTGGGTTTAAAGGGGTCTGCATCCTGGTGGGGGCCATACCTAAACAATTCAACAGCACCCCAACATCACAGACACAAAAGTGGAGAAAGACAGACAGTGTTTACTCATGATAATTTGACTATATTTAAATGTATGGCTGTAAAGTAACTAATTACATACTTTCTTACTGTAATGACACTTTTTTATAAATTGTTTACCTCTAGAAAGAAGTGTACTCTCACTTTTAAGATATAATCCCCCCGATTTCAGTCCTGGTTGATTTGATGATAGATGTGGTCTCTGTTGGTTTTTATAATCCAGGTCCCACAGTTGAATTTGAAATGACACTATCAGCCGCAAACATCTGATCCAATGATTTCCTCATCCAAATCATAAATGTGTCTCTTATGCCTGGTTCACACTACACAACATTTCTGTCCGTTCTGAAAGTCACTATGTCCATAGGGTTCTGAGCTTGGACCTATTCTGTTTACTTTATATATTCTTCCCATTTAGGTAGGATTATTAGAATTCACTTTGTAAACTTCCATTGTTATGCAGATGATACACAATAATATCTATCGATCAAGTCAGAAGAAACCAATCAGTTAGCTAAACTTCAGACATGTCTTAAAGACATAAAAACCTGGATGAGCTCCAATTTCCTGATATTAATATCAGACAAAACTGTTATTGTTCTTGGCCCCAAACACCCCATAATGTCTCTATCTTAAAGGATAACTTCGGTATTTTTCAACCTGGGCCCTATTTCCCCATGTATATGTGTGCGTATGATTCATAGGTACAACTCGTTCTAAAATTGGTTCAGTATTGAGGGAGGCGGATGCAGCTGGCAGCCGCGAAACGAGCTGAAACGGTAACGGGGGCAAATGCGTCCCGTATAAGTTTGTGCATTAAAAGTGCTTTTTTTGCCACTGACTGGTTCAGATCGCCAGTGCTATCTCTGTAAATAGCATACTAAGCGTTTCCCTTACCCTTCACTTCCTCTGGGCTGTGACGTCATCTCGCGAGAGCTTTGCTTGTTGCCTTGGAGTAATATTTGATCAAGATTTGTCTTGAAACTCCCATATAAAACAAACTTCATAGACTACGCAGTCTAGAAGAGGTTTTTCATCTGCATGAGATTGCAAAAATTAGGCATATCCTGTCTCAAAAACATGCAGAAAAATTGGTCCACATATTTGTTACCTCTAGGATGAACAACTGCAGTTCCTTATTATCAGGTTGCTCTCACAAGTCTTTAGAAACTCTCCAGCTGATCCAGAATGAAGCTGCACGTGTACTGACAGGAACTAAGAAGTTAGTTAGTTTCTCTGCACTGGCTCCCTGTAAAATCCAGATTTGAATTTAAAGTCCTTCTCCTAACTTACAAAGCTCTAAATGGTCAGGCTCTGTCATATCACTCTAAGAATGCAGGGTTAGTCGTGGTTCCTAAAGTCTCCAAAAGTAGAATAGGAGCCAGAGCCCTCAGCTAGCAGGGTGCTTTTCTGTGGAATCACTTTCCTGTTTCAGTCTGAGAGGCAGACATTCTCTCTTAATTTAAGAGTCGACTTAAGACTTTCCTCTTTGACAAAGCTTTTAGTTAGGGCTGACTCAGGCTTGGCTTGGACCAGCCCCTAATTAGGGCTGACTTAGGCCTAGTTTGTTGGGGGACTTCCTATGATACACTAAGCCACTTCTCTTCTTCTCTCTCTCTTGCTCTCAGATTCTGAAAAGTTGGTTCCTCTTCATGTCACTAACTGGGCTCTGCTCTGGAGGCTTTGTGCTCCACTGTCTCACAGGTTCCCATGAAAACGCGTCTATGCCTGGGTGGTGGGTCATGGTTTCGTTGCTGCCGTGGTCCTGCCTGATGCCTCCTACTTCTGTTAATATTATTATTAGTCATACTTCTACTATTATTATACACATATGATTATTATTGTCACAGACTTATACTATCATATATTAATATATACTTATACAGCATATACTACAAAATAATATCATTATTATTGCTAAAATTAATGTCATTGTAGCTATTGTCATTACTGTTTGCTGTGCAACTCTCTCTATATCTCTCTCTTAATGTATCATTTTGTCAAATGAATGACTGTACATTTATTATGTTGATCTGTTCTGTACGACATCTATTGCACGCCTGTCTGTCCTGGAGGAGGGATCCCTCCTCAGTTGCTCTCCCTGAGGTTTTTACCATTTTTCCTCCATGAAAGGTTTTTTTTTTTGTATTGTGCTGTATAAATATGAATTGAATTTAATTGAATTGAACTGAATCAAACTGAATTTAATTCAATTCAATTCAATACAATAACTACTCCATAACAAAAGAAGAGCATTTCTTGACAGATCCAGATGGTACTCAGATTTTACTGTGGAGTGAGCACTCTTGACTTTCTTTTTTTTTTTTTTTAAGATATTTTTTAGGGCTTTTTAGCCTTTACTGTATAGGACAGACAAGCGTGAAGGGGGGAGAGAGAGAGAGAGAGGGAGTGACATGCAGCAAAGGGCCACATGCTGGAGTCGAACCCAGGCCGCTGCGGCAACAGCCTTTTACATGGGGCGCCTGCTCTACCACTAAGCCACCAGCGCCCCAGCACTCTTGACTTTCATGCTACCCTTTGGTACAGACAGCTGCAGATGTGATGCAGTGGCACAAAGGAGAAACTTTCCAGGCTTTCAGGTGACATTGTCTTCCCTCTTCTGCGTGCAAGTGGTGATTTTACAGCTCACAGATACTTAATACAACCCAATCTCTGTCTTATGTTTAATATCTCGTGTCACACATTGACAAAATGTCACACAATTCCAATCTCTTGTCAGCACCTTTAAATTGTTCACTGTATTATGTAGATGCCACTGTCACACTGAACTTTCTGCTGAGCCCCATTCAAACTTTAAAACTTGATGTGGAAAAAAAAACACTAATTGTAGAATATTTGTATTAAACACCCAAATCTGATTCGATTGATATAATTCAGAGTCAGGTACAGCCCTACAAAAATTAGGCTCCAATTGCTATTTACATTGCCTGATGTTTTGTTTTTTGGGGTATTATATGTATTACCGTGAGTACTGCAGGTGTGTGTCTAAGTGTGTTTCTGTGTGTGTAAATTACTATCATAATACAATGAACAAAACTCATGCTTTCACAAATTGACTGCAACATTTTATTTTCTGTGCTTATGTCCCCAAGTTTGCGTTGCTCAAGTAAATAAACAGAAAATAAAATGCTGCAGTCAGTCTGTGAAAGCCTAAGCCACCAGATTGATTTACATCATTAAAAGGGAAACTGCTGATTTTCAAACAGCTTTGTGTCATCACAGTGTGGTTAATTTGTGCAGATGAACGGTGTTTGGCTTCCCTCTATACTGCCCAGAGCTCCCTGCTCATCCACCGGTGAGGGACAACAAAAACTAAGACAAAATTTATGTTTCATTTTCGTTGACAAGACGTGGCAAAAATGTTAGTTATGGACTATCAGACACTGAAAGCTGAGAACGGCCTGCAATTATCTTCAAATGAGCGACAGGCTGGTAAACTCCAGCAAATAGTCAGAGCCAGGATGTTTTGCTAGCCAGCAAAAACGCACACACCGCAGCAGCGCCAGCTGTTGATGCAAGTTGTAAGCTGTAATTCAGCAGTAAATAATCAGATTTATGTATCTGACTGTGGATGGTGGAGCTGTTGAATTGATTTGTGGAGTTTGTTAGTTGCAGCGATGGATGTTAGCAATTAGCTTTGCTTGTTAGCCACTGAACGGCAGTGAAGCAAGCAGCCACCGGCTGCCAGTGTTCACACGTGTTGATCCCCGCAGGTCTGCACTCAGATCGATTGCTGTTTGACAAGCAGGTGGGAGGATCAGTTATCTGTGAGTGTAGCTGTGTTGTAAGTAAACAGTTTGAACTCAGATCAGTTTTAATCACTGACTGTGAGACATGAGTATAAACCTCCAGACTAACATGTTGCAGAAGTTATTTTTCTACTTCTTAACAATGAGATGGATAAGTCAGAGTTTATGTGAACCTGGGTACAAATCCTAGTTTTCTCATATTAGTTATTTGTGTTGCCAAAGTTTTTGAGATTGTAAATGGAGAGATATTTGATCTTTTTAAATGATGATCAGTAAGTGTGTGCTCGTAAATCACTTAAAACTGTCATAAACTGCTGGAGAAATGACAGTTTCTAAGTGTGTAGAAATTACTTGTGGCAACCTGCCACCTTGATTCTAATTTCTTATACACGAATTAGCCTCACTGGATTAGTTTAAAGATACGTGCTGACGTATTGCGAGGGGTAAGCGAGTTGTGTCATTTCCGGTGTTTCTGTGACAGCGTCTCTGTACTGCTCTGGTGAATTCTACTAGCCTGCTTTCTGCTTTCCCACTTCAGTTGCTTTAATGTCTACTCCAAGTCTTAACCCACACTAGTTCTGTTTAAGCACTTATAGCTCTCCTCCTTTCTACGACTTTCTCGCTAATCTCTTAGCTGTTGTTTGCACGTTACTAGCCTTGGTAGCTACATTAGCTTTACAGCTAACGATGGCTTCTCCCTCTGCTCTTTCTTGCTC